TCCGAGTAGAGGTAATGATTTCAAAACCATGAGACACATAATATTTAAATTACTTGGTTGGAATGAAAATCTAATCCAAAATTTGAAGAAGTAATGAACAGATTGTTTAAATAAACTGTATGTGCTATGTGCTGCAAACGGTTGTCTTCAGGCCTTCATCACCGCTGTTGAAGCGCTTACCTTAAACCGTTCCTCAGCGGTTTATCAGCTGTTGCCTCCTGGTGGTCTCGCGGCGAATGCGCCTCTGAGCCGTTTTTTTGTGGCTACTGCCTCCTACAGGAGGCGAAGCCGCATGAGTTGTCGAAATTAGTGAGTGAGTGAGTGAGTGAAACAATAGAATTCTGATCTTGACCCAATTTCGACCCGATGTTTCCCGATGCTACTCATAATTATTGTCTTTTTCGGTGTGTCTCATTGATTCGACATTCGCATTCGATATGCATTCGATACACAGTTGAGTTCTCTCTTTTTGTGATTTCTAGCTTAGAGCCACTTGCACATTATATTTACCGACTTTACAGTTCTTGTCGTGACACTACGGAAGTCAATAGAAGACGTTAATCATCTCACAATCAATTCAGGATTGCACGCGATTAAAAAAAAAAGTGTTTTCCTTTCAGAAATAGGTGTGATCGGCGCATCGTGAAACAGAGCAGATTTTTTTCTGTGAAGAGAGAGCGTTTTACCGTTTAAATCAGATGCCCAGATCGGAAGACATAATCTTTCAGTTCTTGCCGTGACACTACTAAAGACGATAAACATCTCACAATAGTTCACAGTGGCATCCACCGACGCATAATTGAAATCAAAACTTTTCCTTGCAAAAATATCTCAAAAGATGTGATCTGCACATCATGAAAGCTTTTCAAAATTTTTTTCTTCATAAAAAGAGAGCATTATTCTGTTTGAATCAGCGGCTCATGCCGAAAGAGCCGCTAAATTTGCGATGCGAGGAATGGTGGAATATCTTAAGACACGGAATGACGGAATATTCTATATCGCGAAATGCCTTTTGGTATGAAACAAGTCTCAAAAAATGGAATTGCAATAAGATAAGAAAATGTGGTAAAACTTGTGCTATACCAGTAGCCACATGCGGTCCTTCACTATTTATTTTCTAAAGGATGTCTTGAAATGTTGAATTTTTTAATTTGTGTCTTAGCTCTCGGGGGTCTTCGTTTTTGCTAAAACCGTTTCGTTTAAGCGTTTCATCAGCAGTGTTGCAGTGGTTGAATACCACAAGCGTTCTTTAAACGACCTCTCTCAACCAGAATGCACTGCTGTGAAGTGGCCATTCTCAACACTTTCTGTATAACAAAAAGGGAGGCCAACTTATATGTGATATTATTCGGCTAAATATATCTTTGCAATCTTGACCGAGAAACGGTTTTTTTATAACCTCATTTAGTTTATTTAAGTATCTGTCGTCTATTTACTACGTTTTTTTTTGTCCTTATCATTCCATGTTCGCGATAACGAAGCCATCGACAAGAGGTCGTCCTGTACGAGATGAAAGCCTTAAGGATTGGCAAGATAACAAGCTGAGAGTTTGCAGAGGCCATGCTATACAGCATTTCAGTGGAAATTTAATCAGAAAACTCCTCTCGGCACCTGCATTGGAAGGTCTCTGTCTCTTTGTAATTTTATGCACTTGCACGTCAAGGGTCGATTCCTGGCTAAATCTCTTGCCTTTGTACACTTTTGTGTCATAGGCGTTAGTTGCACTTGGAAAAAGCTTTCCGAGATGTGTTTTCTTAGTGGATAAAATCTGTCGTCGGGGTACATTTCTTAGTACTACCCTGAGTTTTGCGATTAAAGAAAATCCTTTCCAATGAGCGAAAACATCAAAAGCACTGTAAAGTGCTTTGGTGGGGCAGGCAGATTTCGGAAAATCGAGTTAAATAAAAGAAATCACGGGGTGATTGTCAACGCTCGTCAGTCGTGAACTTTGTTAAAAGACAAAATTGGCACCTAGCAAGAATTTTCGTTTTCAAAACTGTGACGAAAAGCAAAATGAAAATCAATGGTATGAACGCAGCTTCCCACACTAAACGAATTTTTACGGAGCTACCAAGATTTCGCACGCCGAGGGAAACAAAATCAAATTCCGAGTTTTAGGCACTGTAATCTTCCATGCGACTCTGAAAATGAAGACTGCCCAAATAACGATGCAAAGTTAAGCAAATTCCAAGCTTTGGAATTCACTTTTATACCATACGCTACCTAGCTTTCGGAGATGAAGCGTTTATTACGCTGTAGCTATGAAGCAGGAGGATACAATGAGTAATTGAGAACTTTTTTCTTCTGAAAAATGTCCTTATTCGTCAAAAAGTCTGATTTAACTTTAGCAGACTCGCTTAAATAATTTATATCACAGCTATCGTACTCTTCACACTTTGTGTCCTGTTCGTTTACGGAATTTTTAACCTATGCAATCACTATAATATTAACAAATGGTTCATTTCCCATATTTTCATATTGCCGAAGGCTATTTTACCAGACCAAGTTCAAATTGGTTGTCTGAACAATGAAATTTTAGTTCTTCCGTCTCTAAATATACTGCCCGAATTGGAGTGAAAATTTCCCGAAATTACCCAAGGAATATTATGTCTACCTCACATGTAACACAGATGTCATCTTTTTCATCAATTTATCGGGCTGTGGTTCTTCCTACTTGACAGCAAATTCGTACACAAATTTATTATTGGGTCATAATAACAAAAACAATAAATAGTAACTAAACAAGCGAACGCCAACGGAAAACGAACGAAAAAAAAACACAACTTGTATGTTAATAACAAAGCCTTTCTTTTTCTTTTCTTCTTTATCTCATTTCGTGGTACTTAAATTCAATTTTGTTTTTAACCTTCGCAAATAGTTCTTATTTGAAGCTGAGGACAGTTCCATCTGAGGAGGGAAAATATGTTAAAAGACAAAATTGGCATAGGTGTTTTTTCACTTATTTGAACGTTGAAATGAATGGAAATAATATATTAGCATAAGCCATTCAGTAAACATTGTAATAAGCCAATTGATCACTTCTGGCGGTCTTATCTTACAGGTAGAGTTTGGTTACCTTTTCCTTATCGTGATGGTGAATTTGACATGGAGACAAATGTTTTTGCGTAAACTGCGGTTTGCGGCTAGATATCAGTATATTTTCATTATGTTGCTAGAAGATAATTAATTACTAAGAAAATGACTCTACCTTAAAAAAATTGATCCCGTACAGGAGTTTCTTGGAAGTAACCCTTCCTTATGCTTTACGGCTTTAATATTCTCGTTTTTAGGTTAAATCCATGTCGAATTCCCGATCCGGAAAATAGTTTTTAAATTTTAATTCAGCACGTTCGACACCTCTTTTTCTTAGAATTGACTTAAAGTGTAAACATGTAGTACTTTTCATCTTCCGCACTGAATTTGTAATCAGATAACTTATACGACTGGCACGTAGCTCTTTTAGGGGCGGTACCTTGGGTGTGCCCTTTCTTCTCCGAATTTTGTGTTTATTCTGCTGTTATGCAACAGTCTTCAAGGAGGGTCTGAATGGGGTTAAGTGTTTAGTGTTATTTGCCTATATTTTTTTGTGTTTACTGTTAAATTGGCCATTTTTTTAATGTTTACTGTTCTTAAAAAAAATGCTGTTTAGTGTTTGAAAGGAGACCCCAAAGTTTTTTTTAAGCATTTTCAAATTTGTCTGCTCTTTTAAATTCTGCAAGAAAATCAACAAAATCACTCGCGAACAGTGAGCCAAAGCTGAAATGCTCTTGTCCTTAGAACCGATAATGCGCCTTACTAGACCCTCAGTACTAGATGTACTTAAGGGGATACGTTTGGTAATCCACACAATAGTTCCTGAAAAGTATCGCTTCTGGAAATCCAACCAAAGTAGTGTTTGCGAAAGACCAATTGCACTTAAAATTGGGCCACAAGGCAAAGTACTGGCGTTAGACTACGATTTCGACTCTCGATAGTCTCGTAGAACTGCATTTACACCGACCAGTCGAAGTAAATGTTCGGAGGGAAGTATTCAAGGATGCGCGGGACCTATGTTTTACCAATGGCGTAGTCTTCGTTGCAGAGAGGCTCATCAGAAATCCGTTTCATTGAATTGAAAGGCGAAGTACTTTTCAAACCCGGGCGCCTAAAATCCCGAGCTGATTTGCTTTCGCAGCTTAGTCGTTTCAGATTGTCACTTGAGGGTACAGGTCCAGTTCTACAGAAGCGGTTGACGACACAGCTGAGATCTTTAGCTGCACAAGTCGAGAATAAGCAAATTATCCAGATTAACCCACCTTTAAATAAACCAACTTCCATCTGTGCGGCAAGTAAGGATATCCTCTTGTGTGCAGATGATGAGCAGAGAAGCATAATGCAGCTGGAGTTAGAGTACAATGGGATGGCTATCATCAGTAGTAGGCTGAGACAGATAAACTACTCCAATAACGTGACAAGTATTGAATCTCTTTATGTTCTGCGGCAATCAGCATACTTGGCAGCAACTGGCGCAGCTGGAGGGTTATATGGTTGTAACCTCGATTCTGTCAATGTTGAGCGACTCTTGCGGAATTCCTCAGATTCTTGTAAGGAAATCCAGAGGCTGTATGGTTATGAGGGCAACATTGTTTTCACCGACAACAAAGATCAAAAGGTTAAGACCTTTAATCCCTTAAGTGCAACAGTCGAGACCTTGTTGGGTACTGGCCATGAAGGAACCGTTGATGGAATTGAAGAAAGCTGTTCATTTACACAAGTTCATGCAATCTGTTCCTTGTAGAAAATTTTTTTTTTTGATATAGCTGCTGAAACAATCAAACTAGTTTCGGGGCTTACTGGCAAAGTGTCCTTTCTTCGCAACCTCGAATGTCTCTATGATAGTTTGATTGGGTGCACATACGATCGACGCGGTCCAATTATCTCTTCAAGATGCTGTGTGCAATGTTTCATCTGTAAATGCTTATATTAAAAACACAGTCGCTGAAGTAAGGCAGCACTATAAAATGAAAGAAACAGCAACAATAAATGGCCCTGAAGGAACTGTTTCCAGAAAAACACAGGAGTCATTGGTGCTTCTCGAAAGAGGTATGGAACAGCTACGAGATAACATTAAGAATGTAAACGAGGACTATCTTGGTGACATTGACCTGCGTACGCTGCTAACAACTCAGGTGGAGAACCTTCATGCAATCTCCCACTTCAAAAACGAGACTTTCACCGCTCTTCAGCATACTCAAGACTTTGGAACAATTTCAAAGTAATCTTTAAAGAGAACAACGAAGCGGGATGCGAAGTACTTCACACTTGAGAAGTCTTATTATCCAGTGCCTAAATCCAGTGTGGAGTTACGGGACGTAAATGTGATGAAACCTCCTTCAGCTGATAACGTTGACCCCAACATTGAGGCAGCCATGAAGGAATTGGTTGACAGGTATCGACCCGTCAAGGACGGTAAGAAACGAATCAACAAAAGACAAAGCAGGAGCCCTGCCGCCAGCTGTATATCTCAGTACGCCATCGTGTACTAGAGTAACATTCCAAGAGGATGTTTAAGATAATCCAGGGACAGACAATGAAGAACGAGTCGACCAGGATACAAATATTCCACGAACTACAAACGAAGTACCGAGAATCACCTTTGTTGTTCTAACCCTGACAGACCTCCCCGAGCAAGAGGATGAATTCGACACCGACTCGGAGAGCGATGTGGACAATGATACAGACATAACGTTCAGCAGATTTGGTCGCGTCGCCCGCACTCATTTCCGCCTTGATCTCTAGAAACAATTGGGACTATCAGGACAATCAGGACTATTCAGGTATGGAATATAATCAAATGTTTTTGGCCAGGATGGAGTGACATGCCTGTCATTTTTGTTGACCATTATACATTCTGGGTAATATAGCAGATCTTATTGGTAAAAGAAATATTCTGTTATTGCATTCATTACTAGTCAAATTTAAACACTCATTTATGTTAAATTTCATTTTGGTGTATCCTCGCTGTAAAAGCGCTTTAAGAATAGAACTGTTATGAGTTATACAAGCCAAAACTGCGGTAGTCTTCAAATATCGTCGGTCATAAGTTTGTGGACATCTTTGGCAGTCTCAGTGGACATCTTCGGCAGTCTTTGGACATCTTCGGTAGTGTTCGGACATCTTCGGCAGCCTTCAGACATCTTCGACAGCTTTCGAACATCTTCGGCAGCTTTCGGATATCTTCCTCACTCTTCGGAAGTCTTGAAATAATCCCGAATTGTTAGAGAATGGCCAAAAAAACCTCTTTGATACAATAAACATAGGCCCAACATAGATATTTCTCCTTTTAGGGCGTAGTTTGTTTGTTTATGAGAAAAAAATAATGTTAAAACGAATTTTTTAATGTTAGTGTTTAAATGGCTAAAAATTAACTGTTTAATGTTATATAACCAAAAAAATAAGTGTTTAGTGTTATCGAAGTACCTCCATTCAGACCATTCATTCATTAAGATATCTTTTCAAGTATGATTTTAATTCTGTCAGTAAGTTTATTATAAATTTTATATTGTCAATCTTGTTATTGTTTTGCACGAACTTGGCTGTAAGACCAAGAAATTTAAGTTGGAAAGACATTTTGTAAAGTGTAAACATCGCGAAGGTATCTAATTAGTATGCGAACTCCGTTCTGCGTAGTTTAGCGTGACTCGCTAGCTAAGTGTAAAAGCATGACAAAGGTTAGAGACTGACAGCTCAGTAAGTGTCACCTTTATAAGCGGTGACCCACACTTTCCTCGAGAGATCAGAGCCAGTTCCCGTTGTATTACTTTGCGTAATAAAAGAGAGAATAAAAGAAATAGTCAACTGAACGACGAGTGTTAGGAAATTACTTCTAACAACTTTGTCGATTTGAAACACGATAAATTTGAAAAACACGAGGGAATTTCTTAGATATTCGCGCTTTCGACATGGATGGTCTTCAATTTGTAGTATCCCTCACAATTTGATGTGATATATTTTTGCAAATCATTGAAGCTCTCCGCAACAGGACACATGATTGTGATATCTTTTTCTACGAGCAGTAAACATGCACTCTAATTTCTGTTCTACTTCAGTTCTCATTTTTTCAAAACACCGACATTTACTTCTCACTAGTGAGGCTCTATATTCCTTCGACTACATAGTTTTCCTTTCCGGTTGCGGTTACCCATTTCTATGGTCTTTCTTTGTAGAAAAGTTGAAAACCTTTCTCAAGTACGACTTATGACAAAGAATATAATTTCCGAGTCTGATCTTTGCGCCGTAAATTTGATCGTGGATGGTGGTACATGTTTGCCCGTCTTACAAATTCTTCTATTATGTGTTTGGTTATGCCCTACAAACAGAAAATGTCGTCATAATACCTCTTCCAAACTAGCGGTTTAGTTTTGCTCTGGTTGATAATATTTTTTTTCCATTTTTGTCATGAAGAATATGTTGGCAAGAGCTACGGTTATTGCCGCTCCGTGGGTTTGTGAGAAACAGTGTTGTGTTCCGGAATAATAGGGAGTTTAAGAAAATCATGACGGAAACGGCAATGGCAATGTCACTACAAAAGGTTTAATGAGCAGAAAAATGGCTGTGCACGTCCGCTATAAACCTTTGTAAATTTTTTTTCGTCCTCTGCAAAACAACAACGTGAAATATCCAAACTTTGCGTTGTCTGGAGAACTTTAACGACAGCGGCTTATTTTTTAAATTTCTATCACTAATTTAACGTTGTGTTCCCATAATATTCAGTTTCGAGCAAGAAACAAACTAAATTACTTTAGAGTATTGCGAAATTCGTAGGTAAAATGTGAGTTCTTTTTTTTTAACCGACGTTATAAAATTCGCGTGTTAAAGGTGAGGAGCGATTGGAAAAACTAAAGTAAATCCCGAGGTGTTTTCTGTCTCAAATTGCTCCGAAATCACTTAATATACAAGAGCATAGTTGTGTTACTCGTTTTCTTGTTGCTCTGATACTCCTTGCCCCGCTACTCTGTTTAGTAGCACCCCCATCATAGAGGGAAGCTCTAGGAAGCTGTTCTTTTTTTAAAGAAGGCAAATACTTTAATCAGACTCATTGCCTGACGAAAATTAAAACGCTCGAGTTTAAATAAACAAAGGAGATATTTTTAGATAACTCTTTGTTAGATTCCTTTTAAACTCGCTGGTCGTATGTTCAAAACGCAAACTGACCAGTATTAAAGTCGAATATGAATAACTTCATTTTTGAACGCCGGGCTTCCTCGGAGTTGCCGTCCTAACCGCTTAAAGTACTACCGCTTATTGTTCTTTTTCCTTAAGGACCATTCAATCGCATGGTCGAAAATGCACCTGTAGGTGACCACTTCAGGCGTTATTGTTTCTGTGCAACAAATTTTGCCCAAGTTTAGGATCCCTGGGTATTTACGCGACCCAAGAGATTGGAAGACAAAAGCAACGTGGTATGGGGAGAGAGAGGTGATTGATTGTCACTAGAAAAGCGTCGCGCTGTTTTCAAAGTTTAGGATGTTAATATCACTTCCTTTATCGTCCACTTTAACTTGTTCATTTTATGACTGAATATTTCCGAGAAAAAAAAACATATTAACACAGCTCTTAGGCAGCAGAGGTAGTTTTATGGCTGGTACGGGAGCACAAAAGCGCAAAAAGTGTGGTTTTCAAAAAGACAAGGAGTGAGTTGCAATATTTTTTGGCTTGCTCAGTTTTTGAAATTCGAATGTTGATAATGTCAAAGAGGGTTTCTTTTATAGCTTGCGCAACGTCAGCGCATGAAAGCGTCATTTCCAAAAGGACGCGAAATAGATTGAAACATTAGTTTGAATCAATCGAAAACGGTGCGGAAGTTTTTGTATATTAAATACCGTTTATGAAGTTGTAAACAAAAATCATGCAACTAGAGCGCGAATGCTTGTGAGTTTGATTGTTTACAAAGACGTTTTGGATTCAAAGAAGTCTCAGAAGGAATTTCATGGGCAGTACGAGAGATAATTGTCGATGAAGTCGCAGAAAAAAAGATTTTATCGTGTGGTGCATGCGTAAACAGTTTAAAAGAGTGCGATTATAAAAAGACGAAGAATGGGTCGAAAAACATTTGGCTCATTAAAAAAAAAGTTTGAATTTTGTTTTCAAGCGCAGAGTGGATCAAAAAACTTATTTTGCCCGGTGGACGCCGGCGCCAAGATTGAACTTTCTTAACTCCCTCCCATGTGTCATCCATTTGATAAGCAACATCAAGATATGAAAAATAGATTTTAATCTCGAAAAAATCAAATAACTAAAATCTTCCTCAAGCTAATCCCAGGAAACATGATTGGGTTGCTGACGTGCTTGAGAGAGCGGAAATTTGACTTTGGTGCGTTTTTTTATGAGGAGGAGCATAGACAACATTTAAGAGGGGTAAGGATTTGAATCAATTATCTTGATTACTTGTTCATGCGTGTACCTTCATGGAAAAGAAATTAGAGATCAAGGGACAAGAGTACTTTAATTAAAATCTATTTTCCTCCAATTCAATTAGGCCGGGGTTGTCCTACAGACGTTAACGTTTCAAATAAATCCCACCCTAAGACTACCACCTGGACCATCTTCAGAACTCATGTTTAAGTTTAAGCTTTGAAACTAAAGGATATTCGTAAAGTTAATATCTTTTGCGGGGAAAGTTCTATGATAGAGCTCAATGCTTGAATAAGCTGTCTAAACTATAAGAATTTTCCAAAACAAAAACAAAAACTTGTATCCGGAATCGAAACTGCTATGTCACAGGCACGCCATGATCCTAATGGATAACGCATGTTTTAAAGCAAAAACATTCCTTGGTAAAATCACACCAGCTTAGGAATATGAAACCTTATTATCGACTCAATGGGCTAAAGGGGGTTGAACAGCGAAGATTATTAGCCAGTTATGTCATCATGTTGAACGAGTTGGTGACACATAGTGAGCATCATCGAATTGTATTGATTGAATTAATTTCATAACTGGATCTAACCGTGAAAAACGACATTTTGTTATCCAGATGCCATGCTTCACTTAAGTCCCCCATTGATGTAGATAAGTCTCACCGAAGACTCCAAATAAATATGTAATGTAAGAGGACTAAGTTGCACAAGAGAAGTTGCCAATCTAAGAAATATTGTGTTATTTGATATTTTTTGACAGGATGTTCAGATTCTAACTCATTCTGATGTGAAAGCCCAAATCATGTCTCTATACATCGGCACATGGTCAAAAAATCATTAATGAATGTTCGTAAGCTAAAGAATCGAAACGTCCTCCTTACAGATATTCCAGCCTTGTGTTGTTACCAAAGACTCCTGCTGGCAAGTTCTGCAACTTGTTCTTGGACAGGTCCCTTGAAACAAATCAACAAATCAATTACCTATTTATAAAGGGAGTAAGTTTCTAAAGAAACTGTTGTGCTGCG